TAATTTTTAATCATTATACCTCATCTTTCAATCTCTCATCTAACAAATAAAATACATATTCTATTATTACTATGTCCAAACTTTATTTTGTTGTATGACTAAATAATATTCCCATTAGAACTGTCAAAGCGAGTTGATTCGTCCCGTTAAGTCCGTTTTGCGATAGACAAAAAATATTTTGACTTGTAGTTAGTCGGTCCGCACGACCTGCGGGTAGCATATATGAAATACAAACCCGTCCCGCAAATGTATGCGGATTTGCGGGATTGTCCATGGATTTTGTTTAAATAATTTTAAAGTAACCAAAATTTAAAATACTACTAAAATAAATAAATAAATCAAAATACTATTAAAAGTTTGTTTAAATTACCACATGTTGAATAAATTATAATTTTATCAATAAATACTAATATGCGGGCTGATCCGCCAACCCGCAGATGAAAACCGATTAAACATATGACCCACTGCGAATTAATCCATGTGGCCCGCTTATTTGCGGGTTTAATATATTTTCCCAAATCTGCCCCATAGTGAGATGATGTGGGCTCGACCCGCGGTTTTTGACCTATTTTGACTGCTCTAATTCCCATGAATCGTCTAATTTTAGAATTTTAAAATACAAAATTCTATTTTGTAAATCATAATTAATACGATGGGTATATTTATAAACAATTTTACATTTTCTCTACAATTCGTTATTATGAATATTTATAAGTATACTACACGATTCGTTCTACTAAAAAACACACACAATATTAAACGTAACGTATGTAAACCAATATTCTCCCGCGGTGGACCGCGGGTCCGATCCTAGTATTGTTTTGTAAAACAAGTATCATTATTTTTAACATTTTTTTTATTTCGGTCAGTTTTAATTTAATATCCCGCGCAATGCGCAGGAAAATAAATCTAGTATCAATAAATTTAGAAGTTACTACGTTACGAATTTATCAAAAAAAGAAACCTTTTTTACTATATATATTCTGTTTGTTATAACATTAAAATGTTCTTGTAGCTCAATGGTTGAGTGTCTTTTATTCTGTTTGTTATAACATTAAAATGTTCTTGTAGCTCAATGGTTAGCAGTTTGAGTCTTTGAAAATGCCATTTTTCCTTCTTATTTTCTGGTGAAACGACGTTTTGATCCAACAGAGACTTCAAACGGACTGTTAACAGTATTAGCGTGGTTCTAACGGAGACTTAACGCGATACCTAATTTGGCTAGGTCAACGAAAACTTAGCTATTTTCAAACAAATCAAGAGAAACTTTGTGATTAAAGAGACATTTCGAGAGTTCATGCTTTAATCGTCCCAAATTTGAAAGTTGGCGCATTTTCCGACATTTTTCTCATAAATTATATAGTTCAAAGATTATGTAATTTTTTGACAAACTTTATAAATAATCCGATGTTAAAAAAAAACTAAGAAATTTCGAGTTTAGATCCATAATCTTCTTGAACTAGAGACTAGAACATAAATTGTGCTTTATTTGTTGCCAACTACATATCCATGTTTTATGGGATGTCTTCGAATGGACGATTTATATTAAAAAAATACATATCAAGTAAAATATATATACACTAATTAATATAACTAACATGGCACAATGGTATACGTATATCATTTCAACATTTTTGGATGGTAATCTTTAACAGTTTTTCAGTATTTTACCGTACGTCAAACTTTTGTTTGGATTAGCCTCTGTTTGTAATCATTCATTTCTTATTTGTGTAACTACCAGTATTCCATTTATTATTAGTACATTAATTCTGGACCGGTCTAACGTTTTTGGATGCTCTACGCAGATTAATTGATTCTAAACTGTTAAAACTTGTTAAAATTAGATTAATTGATTCTAAACTGTTAAAACTTGTTAAAATTAGATTAATTGATTCTAAACTGTTAAAACTCTTTTGTAAATTAACATTTTAATAAAATTCACATATTTATCAAAAGAAATATAGAGATTATACTCAAATTTATATTTTGTTAAGTTAAAGCCCATAAGTATGATTAAGGAAAGCCCATCAAAATATTAATCTTATTTAAAAAAAGGCTTACAACGTAGTTTCTATATTAAAAACACAGAAAATTTGGCTAAAAAATGCCCTCAAAATTTTGATATCCTAATTCATTGCTTCATTTATTTGGCATGTGGACCGGACCTAATCGTATTCATCTTATTCAATATATTATTGAAATTTTTAACGATTGGCTTAAAATGGGTCACTTCTAATTTTCAAATGTTGTTATATATAGCCGTCTACAATTTCATCTGTTGAAATCTCTGGAAGCTTAAGGTTTATAACAATTTCATCTTTTTCTCTTACTGCATTATATTGTTTGAACCAAATGTTGAATAAATCATTGCCCTAATAGACACATTTTTTTTTTCTAAATTATAAATATTTCATAGATAATAAAAAAAGTTTAGGTTACAATCCAAAGATTTGGAACCTATACACATGGTTCCATGGCAAAAAAGATAAAAACATGGAAGCATAAGACGGTAATTAAACCAAGTTTTCGGTCCATCTACTCAACCAAGCAAAGAAGTTGTGAGAACAAGATGAAGCGATGACGTTTATGTTGTCCTTCCCGGAAGAGTAGCAAAAGGAGAAAGGTGAAAGCATATTGAAAACACCTTGTTACGATTGACAACTAGCTCTAGAAGCCTTTCGCAGGAGGCCCGAAACCGAGCCGTCAACGGTTAAAACTCCAAATCATCAATCACATACTCTCCCTGCGTCATGTGAGATCGATTCTTCGTTTCAAATCCATGAGGTTTTCCCTGAAACGGAACCTCACACGGCAAAAAGCATATGGTGCTAGCTCCCTCTACCAAGTTCATTCCCCGAAGTCAGCAGCTCAGAGCAAAATATGACCAATCACAACCACACCATAAGCCGATACCCCTACTAACTCCTTTATAGCACAATCAAGACACAAGAAAGAGGCGAGTACGCAAAGCAAAGCAATCTTCTTCTTTTGATAAACATGTAAATATCATTAAAAATGAAATGTTCAGGCTTTACAAAAGAGTTAGACCTATTTCTTACTACCTTGCCAAAAAAGAAATTAAAAAACAAGGTGGCATAAACACATGAAAGTCAAGAAACTCTCACTATAACCAAAGTTGCATCAGATTTTGAAACTTTCTTCGACTTTTTCGAGCAGTGATTGAGTTACGAATTATGCTATCAATTTCCCTGAAGATGGTCGACGAAGGAATGACAAGCTGGTTGTGGAGTACGTTGTTGCGTTGCTTCCAAATCGCATAAACAACAGGAAGCCAAAACACAGAACAACAGCTATCTTCAAACAAAAACAATAACAACAGGAAGCCACCACACAGAACAAGCCTTGAACTAAACCAAAGAATTGGTATACCCTAATAGACACATGATAAAAACAATTGAAGGATTTGGTGTTTATATTATGTTTTTCGTTGAATTTTACTTTTTTAAATACCATAAAATATTGTAAGCTAAAAAAAGAAGAAGAATCGTGGAAGCCCCCTTGGCCCATTGGTTGACTAATGGTTGATTAATGCTTCTACACCAAGAGGTCTGGGGTTCGAGTCCCAGATATTACGATTTATTAACAAATTTGCAGATTAATGGAGGCAAGTGTGCAGGAGATCTCCAGCGATGTACAATTATAGCCGTTCGCCAGGATTCTACGCAAAAAAGGAAGTGTCGCCAGGTCGTGGATCATTGAAGGTATTCACCAAGATCATGAAGAAGGAAGTGTAGTCTGTCGTGGATCTAGTAAGGGTCGGAAGGAATTGTCAGTTGTAGAATCGTCTATGTAACCATTCTCATAATTTGCAATTAATAATAAATCTAGACGATAAAAAAAAAAAAAAAAAAAAAAAAAAAAAAAAAAAAAAAAAGGATAGAGCTAAAAAAAAATTAATAATTGAAAAATCATTAGTCTACATAAATGGACTAAGCCAAACTATCATGCGCGTCGAATCTTAGGGGAGTTATTAATTTAAGCAAAGCCATCAGAAAAACGCGTCACATTAATTTAACTATTTTCTATGTTCTCTCATATGAATCATAAATAGCTTTGAATTTTGTAATTTTTTTTTACTAGAAACTGTTTTGTCTCCACGTATTGAATTCTTCTTCTATTACGTCAAGGCGAATAGTGTGCGATGATTGAATTTGTCATGGACATTCAAAGTTATTTATATGGTTTTCTTACAAATTTTTACTCTTCTCTTTTGTTATCCTGACGTATATGTGTTGAGAAATCACAACACGTAAGTTAGCTATGTGTTATATAAATGGTGCGATTGTTTTGGTCAAATAAGAAACATTAATCAGTTGGTTGTTTTTAAAACAAACGGCCGGCAGCCACTGCTCTGATTTCGGTTTATAAAACAAACTAGTTCTGGGCATTCGATTATTCAATCGGTTATTAGTTCGGTTCTATTCGGTTTCGGTTCTTTCAATTCTAGAGTTTAGTATCTTTTTGGTTATTTTAAAATTTTGGTTTAGTTTCAGTTTGGTTCCGGTTCTTTCGGTTTTAAAATTTAGTATCCATTCGGGTATTTTACTTTGAATATTTTCGGATATTTTGTTTTTTTTGGGGTATTTTCGGATAATTTTGGATATTTTTCGGTTATTTTCGAGTATTTTTACTATTTTTTATATATTTTTCAAGTATTTTTTATTATTCTGTCAATAAATAACTAATATTTTTGGATATATAATTGTATTACGTGTATTTTCGGGTAGCCAAAATATTTCGGTTTGGTACCGATTCGGTTCCGATTTTTTCGATTCTAGAATTTAGTATCCATTCAGTTATTTTCAAATTTTTAGTTTGGTTCAATTTGATTCTTTTTATTTCAGTTCCGATTCGATACATTCGGTTCGGTTAATTTTGTCCATGCCTAAAACAAACCATATACTATACTCCTACCTAATAGTTGTCAACTTAACATCACCCTTTTATAGTTGTCCATTACGAAAAAAAAAAATTGTTCATTAACAAAATTTTTTTTTATGTAAAATTGAAATGATACGCAATATATTTTATCAGTTAAAACGATCAAAATTTATTGATGTATGCTTATTTTATAGTTCAAAATACAATCTTTAAAACAATTTATTCAATCTTCATATTCTTGCGTTTGATACAGACCATTTATTAACGCGAACCTTTGCTTTTTGTGCCTACAAATGTGAAATAAACGATGAAACAATTATTAAAAACATACTTAAAATAAATCATATATATACGCAAACCAAAAGCAACAAACGAAAAACTTGAGTTACCTCTTTCTCCCAATCACATCTTATAGTAATAAAAATCAATATCAATGTTTGAACCATGGTTCCTCCGAATATCATACCCGCCCAAATACCCTATTAGCATAATCACAATTGTATATGTAAATTAATCTTCAAATGTTTGCTAATTTGATATCAAATAAATAAAGAAAATTGGCTTACCTTGACGCCAAACTTAAAAATCCAGCCCATGACAATTCCAAGTGGAAGTCCAATGAAATAGTAGCATCCCAAATTTATAAATGCCACTAATGATTGCCAACCCGAACCAACCGCAACACCTATTCAAAATCAAAAATCACCACACAACCGTTGAACCGGTTTAATAGGGAAAACAAAGAAAGAAAATCCAAAGTAATTTGTTTATGTTGCGTACCGGAAAGAACCGGTTGGACACTGTTGAGAAGAATCGCAAAGGCTAAAAGGATAGAGAGATTATGGACTGCTTTTAGGACAGTTTCACTTGAAGAGAAGATCCAACCGATTTGGTCAAGAAGAAAATATATGAGCACCGAAATGATTATTCCAATGATCAACGATTGTGTCACTGATATGATCATTGCAAATCTTGCTCTTTTTCCATTGCCTGCTCCTAATTCATTCGCCACTCGTACGCTATAAAAAAAAGATTATCATCATATTAAAAATATAACTAGAAAACAACAAAATGTGATTAATCCTAGGGTATGAACAATTATTTAGAAGCCATCAACTAGTCAAACAAGATCTAATTGGTCTTTAGTTCATGAATAATATAAACCAAACTAAACAAAAATGAAAGGCAAATCTATACGATAGTAAAAAAAAAGAGAGAGAATAGTTACCTGGTCCCCGCGAAGAAAGCAAGTGGAACCATCATCTCCAAACCATTTATCGACATGCTGCCCACAAAAATTGCATTTATATAATTTGTAGCAATATGATATAAGAAAATTTTCTTATATAATATATATTATTAATCTTGAAAACCATATATTTGACGTACCATATAGACACAGAGTCTACATCAATTCTTGCATTCTCCAAATTTCCAGTCATCACAATTAACATCCTATAATACCAATTCTCCAAGCTGTATCGATAAAAATCGGTAGTATGAAGTTGTGTTCTAATCTGTAAACCAAAAGCAAAAAAATACGAAACTAGTGGCGTTTTATGAGTAATACCAAACCATTATTCCGGAAGAGGCAGAGAGCTTAGTGAATTCCCATAGTCTCGTAAAAGATTCAATGGAGAAACCGGTCCAAGCGAACGGACAACCGCCGCAAGTGGTGTAAGTAAATAAGATAAAGAAATTGAGCCACCATGAAACATTAGCAGTAGCGATGGTCCCTATGACTCCAAGTTCAAGAACGTAGATAAAAAGCCAGCACACAAATATGTGAACTACAAGTGCCACTCCAGACGAAATTGCAACCACCTATGGTAATGTAAAAGAACATCGAAAACAAAACAAAAAAAAATGTAAGAGAATATCAACCTAACACATCAATATATATATGCTAGTTTATAGACATAATACTGCTTTTCCTCTAGTTATCACTTACTGTTTCTTTTTTTCTTTTATGTTCATCTTGTTACTCTTGTTGTACACCATTCAAATCCTTTTACATGCCCCAAAATAACCCTCAAATACCTTGTTATTAAAGCTTTGTCCTATTGAAGAGTGGTGATTTGAATCGAGTTTAACCCGAACCGATAATCACAAGTGTATGGTTTAGTATTCTTGTAGTAATATGAAAAACATGTAGTTGACCATTTCGGCACATGTTATTTATTCATTGGTCCACAGATGCTCATTTTGACCCATTCAAGTTTCCAAGATTTAAAAATGAACGAAAAAAAAAAACATACTACAAAGACATTTTAAAACTTCTAAAAGATAAGTATACGGATCTGAACAACTAAATGCAAGAAATCATCACAAACACATACAAAAAATGCACAAAATAAAGGAAAATTGCCAAAACTAACTAAGATCAATTAAGTTTCGAGAATAAGTCAATTTAACACCAATGAAAAAATGGGAATTATTTTAACCATCAATTTCCCACCATCTACTCCAAAAATAGAGCCGTCTAGTCTACAACAAACTTGGACTAACCCGCACCCTTGTGACCTTCAAATCTTAAGTTACATACCGAGTTTTTAAGCTGGCATTGGAGGAACCGGTTGATAGGGAAAAAGAAAGCAAATGAGAAATTGGAAGGAATGGCCCAAACAGCGATGATACCGGAGAGCTCAGCGATGTCGTCAGGCTGGCCCATGAACTTAAGAATCGGGGACGCAAAGATGTACATTGGGAGGAGCAAGATAGAGCATAAGAAGAGAACAATCCAAGATCGTTGCAAATACACTCCAAACATGTCATACTTCTTTGCCCCAAACGATTGACCGCACAGCGTTTCCAACGCAGTCGCCATTCCAATCTACACAAAACATATAATAGTTTCTTCACAAACTAATCAAACATTATAATATAAGCTAGAAAAATTGTTCTTTGTATATACGAAGAGGCTATAGTTGAAGCCGATGATGACGTTGTTGACGATGGAGATGGCAGCGAGTTCTAGCTCGCCGAGGTGGCCAGCAAAGGCCTGAGTGATGACAAAGATCAAGTTATTCGTGACTCTAGTGAATATGGCTGGTCCAACAATACGCCATAGCTTCTTGGTCTCTATCCATATCTCTCTCTTTATTTCTCCGACTTCCTCCTCCTCCACATTTTGATCCTTCAACAAAGGAATCTTCGCCTTCTCTACACCTTCTGCTCCGTCGTCTCTCTCTCCCATCGCCGATCTTGATTTGTAAATTAGAAATAAAATAAATTGAGTTGATAGATCAGCAAAAGATTGATAATATAGTCGCGGATCCACGACATAATTGTGGACACGTTAATAACAATACACACAAAACATTAAAAAAATGCCTTACTAGCCAATTAAAAAAACAAATGTGTCAACCCCACATAAATACCAACAAGTAAAATCGTTAGTTTTGACTTTTCAGATATATGTGCATTTTTTATATATCCGATCGTTGATCCGGTGAGCTCCGGTAGAAATATATTGAAGTGTAATAGAGTAGATTTCTCTCCGAATGACCACAAAAGCATTTGTGTCTGGAGATATCCAATTAGTGTAATCTCGAATACCATGTGAATTGATCGGAGTAAAGCTCAAGCCTAAACTTCTCATACAAATGTGATTTTTGTATCCAAGATTAGTTTTATGATATGAGGTATAGTTGGGCTGAACAAATTTTAAACGATTTTTTAGTTTATTTTGCTAAAACATAATTGGTCAAAATGATAAATGAGGCAGTAGTGAAAACTGAAAAGGTTTCAATATTTATAAAAAATTGTAAAATATACATTTTTCTTTTGGAATTTATTTTTTGTGGTATTCAATGACTAACAACCGAAAAAATATATATTATTTTGTGGTAAAAAACTGATTGCCAAAAGGAAAATGTATATTTTGTTATAATATAAATATATAATATGTAATTGAAAATGTATATTTTGTTAATAAAATTTTGGTAATATAGCAAAATTTACATTTTCTTTTTGAAAATCATTTTTACCACAAAATAATATTTTTTTCTTCTCGTTTGTTCGACATTGAATACCAGAAAAAATGATTTAAAAAAAAATATGTGTAGTTTGTTATATTACCAAAATTTTATAAATAAATATAGCACAAAATCAAATTTATGGACTATTTTGTGGTATATTTAGTTATACCAAAATTTTGTTGTATAATTTTTTTGTGGTATATTTTGTTATATTTAATTTTGGTATGTTTTGTTATATTTTAAAGTACAATTATGTAATAATTGTTTATAAAAAATAAAATAAAAATAAAAAAATATTTATTTTTGAAAATATTTTTGGTCAACGCCGGATTCCGGCAACCAAATCATTGGAATTGGATGGTTATGGTGTTTGCAACATGACTTATGTTAGTTCGGGGATGTCCGTAGGTAATGTCAATACTTCGTGTAGCTAACAAGACATTTTTAAAGTCTGCATGTGTGACTATGTGATGACGTCTCTTTCGTGTAGCTGACAAACATTTTCCCTAAAAGTTTTGGTACCCAATGGGAAACTCTAAAGAGAGAAGTATGGATCACATTAACCAATTAACCTCAGTAAATGAGGGACATGTTCGTAACCATCAAAGGAGAAAAGGGGACGAGATGTTATTTTGGTGTTCTACCACAACTTTCCAAACTTCACGGTTTGAAATCAGTGTTTCTTTTTCGGATCTATATTGAATGTTTTTTCGCTTGTGTTTTCCTTCTCGTGTTTTTATTGTAATCTTAAGTTTTTGTTTTTGGTCTTTCTGTCTTTTTAGTCTTCTCTGTAATCATTGTCGCAAATTTGAAAATCGTATAAATACTTAACATTTTACCAGGAAAAAATAACTTGGCCTTTAAAAGATAACTACTAATTAGATACTTACTTGCTGTGTTTCAAAAATACTACTTCATGTTTAAAATATTTGTACATAAATTAAGAAACTATTATACTTCCTTCGTTCCTTTATAAATATAAGATGTTATATAGGTTTTTGTTTGTTTCATTTTATTTGATTTTTTCAAGTTATTATGCAAAACATATATTTATTAAATATTTTATAACTATTTAACTTATGTAATATTTTTATTCATTGTTTGAATTAATTTTCTCTTTACATTAAAAAACTTTTCTTAATCTCCATGATATTAGTCAGAAAATCTTATATAGAAAAACGGAGGGAATATTTAATTTTTACTTTTACTAAATATAAACATTATTTCTATTTACCTAAACACAATTGAACCAATGATATAAGAAATTGTATAGTACAAGTTAAATGGTCAAAAAACAGAAAAGTTAATAAATTGTGCATAGAATATGAGAACATTACTTAATTTGAAAAAAAAAACTGTTCTAAAACAATATTTATTTTGAAATATCAAAAGTATGGAGTAAGAGTATATGGAAATTAACTAGGCTTCCGGATTGGAAAGAGTGAGTGGTGTTTCTGGGTCCATTGTGTAGCAGCAATATAATAACTTTCAAAAAGAGTAATTTTGTAGGTGCATGGTTCTGAGTCCAACTCATCTTGCAATTGTAAATTTGTAATGGAGTATGTTTCTGGAGGATTCTGGAGGAGAGTTCTTTGAACGAATCTGTAATGCTGGTAGAGTCAGTGAAGCTGAGGTGCAGTGCCGGTCCGACGTTTACTAAGACCCTACGCAAGAATTTTTTTTTCCCCCTTTTTAAAATGCTAATTAAATTATTACATAATAATAGTTTAATACCAACTGTTATTTCTTCAATTTAAACGAAAGAAATAGAAGTTCAAAAGTATAAGAAAATCATAAAGCATCAAAATCAAATAAAATAGAAGTACAAAAACCAAGAAACCCTAATTTAGTATGGCAAACTGTCGAGAAGATCAATTGTTTTTGCTTTACATTGTTTAGTTACTAAAAATAAATCAAAACTGTAAAAATAAGTTAAACTTAATGGGCTATAAATATTTTGGGCCCTAAGCCATGGCTTATGTGGCTTATGTCACGAGCCGGCCCTGGTGTGATATATGCTCCTTTCTAAAAATCCTAACTTGGTTCTTATTCGATTATTCGACAAATTCCCTGGCCGTGAATCTCCATTGCATCTAGTTGTTCGTCTTTAAGATCCTGTCTCTGTTGAGATTTTGATGTCTAAAGAACGAGAATGGTTGGAGGTGCGTAACAAGAAGCGGTTTGCACTAGAGAAGAGGCCATGATAATTGCTCAGCATTACCAGCCTCTTGCTTGGGCTAAATGGCGTAGGAGATTTTGTTATACTATATATATAGTCAGTCACGAGGTTTGTGCAAGTGCGTTGTTTGGCAAATAAGCCTTGATATTCCTCATCACATGTGAAGTTTTTTTCTTGAGACACATAATAATGTTTTCTTTGGTGATGTTTTATTGGTCGTAGACTCGTATAGCAGATGAATATTCCACTTGTCAGTAACTTTTCTAGTCGCCATCGTCAACAAAATGGTTGGCCCTAAGCCCAAATCACCCTAAATCAAATTGTCATCTAAATCAAGCACTAATCAGATAATTATTAATAGAGTAAATTTGTTTATGAGATCCTTATTGGATTTGCCCCCCCCCCCCCCCAAAAAAAAAGAGATCCTTATTGGGCTTAGCCCATATACAGGAGTAATTTGAAGCCCAAAGAGAGGAGAGGAATGTTTCCACCCTAAACCCTATCACTGCAATCATCAACTCAGAGCCGGCGAAGCTTGCCGTTCCTGCCACCGGAGGTAAGCCATATCTCTCTTTCTCATCTTCTTCTCCGATTTCGAACTCCAGATAATAGGTTGATGGGTTTTAGAGATCTATCTCCTTCTCCAAATTCCCGATCCAACAAATCTTACCCAATCACTTCCCAAAACGAGTACTCTCGATTGGTTTGATAGCGTGACTGGGATTTCAAGTATTGAGGTGAATTTTGTTTCTGGGTTTAGCTAATTTTGTTTGGTCTTGGTTCGAGCAATTTTCAGAGTACCCATCTCGATTTCTCTTTATTCCTTGTTGCAAAAATGTCAAATCTTTTGTGTGTCTCATGTTGAGGAAAAGCTGCACACAAAGTGTTTGTCAAAATGCCACAACGAAACTGATTTAATATTCCAGATTAAATTATTTCTAGTATTGCCTGTGTAGTTAGTGATCGGTCAAATACAGGGGCAATGTCTACAGAGACATGTTTCGTCTATATCTTGTGCATTGTAGAAAAGCTATAGTTGCTCGTTGACACTGCAACTATAATGACAAAATTCTGAAACATATGTTTTCTGCATTTATATTAATAGATGTACGTGGTTGACATGAAAACAATTCTTAATTTGTGATGTAATGATGTTGCTCTTATTTGTTTTAGATTATGTACAGGTTTACTGCTGTGATTATGTACATGTTTGCTGCAGTAATTGATACGTAATCTAATCTTTAATAGTGGAGGTGTTTTTATGACGAAATGGATTGTTCCAATGTTACCTCAATCTTCAACATGTCCATATATATATTTTATATATTCAACCTCTTTTGATTCAGGTCTACTATATGTCTCTGTTTTTGTTTTGAGATTTTTTTGACTTTATTTTTGTAGAGTAAAGAGGCTGAAAGAAAGCTTTATGTTGTTTTCGTTTTGTTTTTGTGGTATGGTTTAATGAGATAGTAATTTTTTTTCCTAAGTTCTAAGACTTACCTTGAGTTTTTGTTTGTGTAGTCTTTTGTTAGAAGTGTCTAATTTTAGGGTCTGTAACCATCTTTAGGCTTATTGACAGGGTTTATGAAACTGATTAAAGATTTTGTTTATTCAGGAGGAAACCATGAAAGTCAAGATCTTGCGTATCCTTTTGTGGCTTCATCTTCTTAGCTTTCTGTGGGGAAGTTTATTTTAGACTGCGTTAGGTTGCAGCTTATGAACTAGACTAGGGTTGTTCTAAATGGCTGCATTTCCGATTTGTTGCACAAGTAAAAGAAGAAAATGAAATTGTTGCCTTGACTTTCTATGCTACTTCTGTCCTGCATACCCAAAAAGACAGAGTAAGTTTCTCGTTCCTGTAGCTTTAACACATAAGCTCTCGCCATGCGGCGTTGCTTTCCATTTTAACTGATTGTTTCTCCTGGGAATAGATGGCATGCAGTTGCTTCATGGACATGGGATGCTCAAGACGAAACATGTGGGATATGTCGGATGGCTTTTGATGGTTGTTGTCCTGATTGCAAACTTCCTGGAGATGATTGCCCTCTAAGTAAAGTTCTCTGCTTTCATGTCTTCACTTTTATATATGTTGCTTAGTACACACACACACACTATTTCTCTTGCTTACTGAAACATTTCTACTTATTGTATTGGTGTTTTGGCAGTTTGGGGAGCTTGCAATCACGCGTTTCATCTTCACTGTATATTGAAATGGGTGAATTCACAGACGAGTCAAGCTCATTGCCCAATGTGCAGAAGAGAATGGCAGTTCAAAGAGTAAGCAAGTTATGAGGAGGATTAGTCTGAAGCTCTCATCATGTAGGATGTTTTGGAATGATCTCTTGGAGTTGTATTTGGACCATTAGTGTTGAGTTTTGATCGTCTGGTGAAAAGCCAGAGAAAGCTTTAGGAATGTTTTTGAAGCTTTTCCTTAGTTTGATTGCTTGGAAAAATCATAGATCAAGCAACTTTCTGTGAGCTATCATCATCTATGATCTTTGTTAATTTGTAGTTAGATTTCTTTCTTTTTTGCCTTGGTTTAGTATATGTTTGATTCTTAGTTATTTTTTCATTAGTATATTAAAACGCAAAACAATATACATTTGAATATACGTTGATGAATCGACCGTTTGGTTAGTGACTCGTAACTTTCAGAAAACTCGGTCCATTATAGATACATAATCTGTAGTTCTGTACTAATCCGCAATAAGGAAAATCTCTAAAGTCTAACATTCAATTGATTTAATTCGATGATACAAATAAGATATAGTATTATCATTTTTCTAATAATTTAATTTGGAGAATACGTCCAAATGTGTTTATAAAGTCCGAAACTAAAAATGATTCTTTGTCCCCATTATTTTTTTTAACATTTCAAATTTCCATCCACTAGATTCAAAATATCATCTTTTTGCCGCCAACGAATCCTACCGTACACGTGTCCCTTCTGTAATCACCTCAATATAAAAAAGTTTACTGGACTTATAATAATTGGGTTTTCAACGGCCCATTATCTCCAATTTAAATAATATTTTCTCTTTATTAATAAAGTAGTGGCCCACATAGCAACGGTCCAATTTCACAGTCTAATCAGACTCGTAACGGTCATCTACTTTTCCCCCTACCCCCTAAATTAATATTTTAATAACCTAAAAATTAAAAAGAGAAAAGACAAAAAAAAAAAAAAACCCTAAATCCCCAAATCCATGAGTACTCTTCTTCTTCTTCTTCTCTCTAGCTCTTCTAAGTAAAAATCATCTCTTTGCAATGTTGACCCGTTGATAAGCTCTCGAAGGAATCTATTATCATCAAACTATCTCGTTAGCTCTTTGGAACTGTTAGAAGAGAATGGGTTGCTTACTTGGTTGCTTTGGTCGTCGGAAGAATCGTCGCCGTCAAAGACGTCGAGAATCTTTCAATCCTCGTTTAAACGTAAGTTTTCTCCGGAAAAAAAATCACATCTTTCGATTCTGTTAGTGATGATTTGCTTCAACTAAGCTAGCTTCAGCTTCAATTTTTGTTGGGTTTTGCTTTATCTGAAGTAATTTTGTTTCTTTCTTTTTGTTTATAGAGAATCTCTGAGGAATCTATAAAGGATGTTCTTTTGAATCTTAGGGTTCCTAATGTTGAACAAGTCCCAAAGTATGCAAAAGATTCAAGTGTTTTGGAAGTCTCTAAAATCTCGGAGGTGTCTCCAAAAGATGATCATCTAAGTGTTGAGCAAGTATCTAAAGTTTCTGTGATTCCGATTACTGATATCTTCTGGTACGTACTTAGAATCATGTTTTTGTGTTTTAGCTAAACAGATTTGACTTATTTGATTCTTTTCTTTAAATTGCAGTGGCAAGGTTGAGGAGAAACAAAGTCCGAGTCCGAGTCCAAATCGTAAGAGAGTGACTTTCGACACCAATGTTACAACATATGAACACATTGTAGTAGGTGAATCTGTTGAGCTCTTTGAGGAGAAGAAAGAAGAGGTGAAGTCGAGGCAGGAGAGCGATATTACTATGTCGAACTCGTCAGGGTCTTATCCTTCAAATCATAGATATCAGAATTGCAGAGAAAGTGATGATGAAGAGGAGGATGTAACAGACTGTGACCAAAGCGATCTTGAGGATATTGATGATGGTGGGCTGCTTGATGAAGACTATTATAATGATGACAATTATGAGGATAAGCTGCATAACTGGGATAAAGTAGTTTATACCGAGGAGATTGTGGATAATGTTATGGATATCAAGAGGATTGAAGAAAAGAGTAATGTCAGTGCTAGAGACAGGAGTGGGTATGTTAACGCAGTACTGAACCCGATCGAGAATCTTTCCCAATGGAAAGCTGTGAAATCCAAAGGAAGAACAACTCAAACACAGCCTCGAAAGGAGAATGCGATAAATGCTTCCTTCAGCTTGGAGCCTCAGGTTGATGAGTTATCATCATCATTCAGCTTGAACCAGAAATCAAGAGATGAAACTAAGAAACAGAGAACTCAAGAAATAGCTGTTGATGCTAGTCTCTCAACTTGGTTATCCACATCACAGACCACGGCCAGCGGATGCAGCAGTGTTGGAACCGCAATGTCTGAGAAGAAGAAATACTCGAAACCGGTTCAAAGCCACGATGAAAGACCTATACTGGGCGCATTAACTGCAGAGGAGATAAAGCAGTTCTCAGCTACGGATTCGCCAAGGAAATCATCGCCAAGTAGAAGCCCTGAATCACCAATAATCGGAACAGTCGGTGGTTATTGGAACAATCACTCAATGGCCACCAGCAAGTACAGTTGAAGCTCTTAAAACTCAAATTCTACAACAGAGAAACAATTCCACACATGTTTGGTTACTAAATTGTGAGTAAAATTTCATTTATTTGTTACTAAATTGCCTTTGTGAAATTATTTTCATCACTCTATTTGTTTGTGTGTGTGTGTGTGTGTTTGGTTGATAACCTAATCGTTGTGTGTGTTTGGTTTACAGAAATTTGTCTATTTATTTCACAAGTGATTTAAAGTATGAATCTTTTTCTCCTTACAAATCCATATAATCCAACAAAGAACACCCAAATCTGAAAAATAGGCCAAGCAAAATGGCTCAAAATAGAGGTCCAAAACGCAAACGCAAATTCGGTTCCTCATTAACAGTCGACGCCACACTGCTTCAGTAACGGACCAGTCTGTTTCGGCAAGAACGGATCGATCCGAACCCAAACCAACGAGAAGATCGAGGCGAGAAGGATAGACCAAAGAACAACGATTGTCGGTGTTCGGTTTTGTCGACCCATCAAACCTTTGAGGAAAGGGTAAAGATGAACAATGACCCAAAACGCGAAAAACAGTTTCCCAAAGAGCGGTCCCCAAGAACCATATCCATTGTTAATAGCGTCAGAAACTCCGGCAACAACGCCAACCATGTTAAGGATGATGAGCGTAGTCGGAGGGATGAGAAGAGTTGTCCATTTGAAGAGGTAAAGATCTCCAAACTCATCAGCTTCGTCGCTGGCTCCTTTTGACGTGACGGTGAAGTTAGTGTCAACACCGAAGAGAACTTTGAGAAGACCTTGAAAAACTGCGAAGAGATGAGCTGAGACTCCACCAATTACCCAGAATTGCTCGTTACGCCAGAGGTCGTTTATGCTCACGCCACTCCACCGGAGCTCTAATATCGCCGTCGCAATGATTGATAGGAACAGAGCTAGGAACCATATGCTTGCGAAATTGTTGATCTGGATCAAAGAAAGCAAATGGGTGTTAAAAAAGTTTGAATCATTTATCTAATTTTTTGACAAATCAAGAACAGTTTTAGAGTGTTAATCTTTATACTTAAGATACTTAATGGGTAAAAGAGTGAATTTGGGGGCAAATCAACAATGTTTAAAAACTTAAGGGGTAAAAGTTCAAACTTTTAGGATTTAAGGGTTAAAAATCAGAAACTAACCGTAAGAATGATGAATTCGTTTTTAACATTTTGACGCAAAAGCAGGAACTTTTATGAAGAGTATGGATGGAAAATGTGAATTTTTAACGATTTATGGATAAAAATGTAGACCTTTAGGAGTTTAAGGGGTAAAAAAGGATCATGAGATTTACCGTAGGAATGATGAACTTGCCGGTGAGAAGACAAACAGCCGGAATAGTACAATAAGCGAGTAGAGGAATAGAAGTGAAAGGATAAACAATTGTGTTGATGTAAGCAAGACGTTCAAGAATCTTGAGTTTGCCTCCCCAAGCATACCACAAAGGACAATGACGACTAAAGAAGATTTCGACGGACCCGAGTGCCCATCTAAGTACTTGGTGCAACCGATCGGATAAATTGATCGGAGCTGATCCTTTGAAAGCTGGCCTTTTAGGCATACAATAAACTGATTTCCAACCTCTACAATGCATCCTGAATCCTGTAAGGATATCTTCCGTGACTGATCCATATATCCATCCAATCTGAAATCAATATTGAAACAAAATCAAGAGTCAAGCACTAATATCCATACTCTAATCATTTTTAAAATAAAAAGTTTGATTTACAAATTGTAAAAATATCATAATTATTTTGTAAAAATCTGAATCTGTATTGACTTATATAATATTTTTACAAAACCATTATGATAAGTAAAATTTGGTTTAGTTGATGAATTCCGTCATTTAAATTCTCGACTCACGGATAAATTAATAAAATGTAAAATAAGGTTAATAATGATAAATTAGTTTTTATTAATCTTGAAATTAATTTTGTTCATTGTTTAAGCAATTCTGCAATATTACCATTAGGACCTATAAATTATGATTATTTACCTCTTTGCCCCATTCAGTCTTCTCTTCATAACCACAGCTAATAACATGAATCGCTTCTTTGATCAACGAGCTCGTGTTCGTCGCCTCCGGCAAACCTCCGTTCTCCATCAACGTCGACGCAATAAACACAGGAGACATCCCAAATCTCTTCTCAAAATTCTTCTGCGACATTAACGACGATTTCTCAAGCTCGTCATATCCTTCAAGTCCTTCTTCAATATCTTCCAAATCAAAAATCGCCTCCGTCGATGATCGTTTTCTACTATAGCTACTCATCGTCGTTGTAGTATCACTCTTCTTCTTGTTCTTCTTCTTTAGTTTCGAGAACAAGCTCTTGATTCCTGATTTCTTCTTTGACGATTCTGATGATTTCGATTTGTGATTACGGTTACCTCCGCCGCAGCAACAGCAAATCCACGACGGCCAACAATCACATGTCATCTTTTTTCTTTTTTCCGATACCGGTGGTTCGTATCCGTATAATGCTGGTCTATTGAATACACATCCTGTTCCTACGTAGACTGGTCCTTGAATTCCATCTAAGCCTCTCATGTTTATCTGCAAGATCGTCGCAAAATTCAGATTTTTACCAAGTGTCAATAGCTCAACTCGTAAAGACTCTCAGACAAAACATAGAGGTCGCCGGTTCAAGTGGCACTAAGGGCCTAGGCCAAAACTTCTTAGTTATTAAAAAAAAAAAAATCAGATTTTAGGGTTTTGAATTTTGAATTTGGGGGTTTTTGATGGTGAAGACTTACATCGAAGAAGACGATGTTTCTGTTAGCGTATCGATCGTTGTGATCGATTCCGTCGAATCTTTGAGGGAATTGAACATAACAAAGCTTTTTACCAAGCTGTGGATCCATTAGAAAGCACATTGATTCTCTTATGGCTTTACTGTTGTTGATGTAATGATCACAGTCAAGATTAAGCATGAATGGAGCATTTGTGAGCACTGCTGAGACTCGAACCTGAAACATCACCGGAAAACAGTTAGATTTGATTTCCGTGAGAGCTTTTGACTGTTTGTTTTGCTTACCATTGCATTCATGGCTCCAGCTTTCTTGTGGTGTGCATAACCAGGACGCTTCTCTCTTGATACATACACGAGGCGTGGCAATTCGTTACCATCAATGTCGAATGCTCCTTCTTTACCGAGATACACCTGAAAAAGTTGAATCAAAGTAGTTGTTTAGATCAAAAGGTGGAACCTTTGATGGTATACTGTAACCGTTGGGGTTTTGAGGTTTTGTCGTTACCTGGATCATCCCGGGATGATCACGAGTGTTGTTCCCAGGCCATGGTGTACCATCTTGCATCACCCAACCTTCTTCAGGCTTCTTCTGAGCTTTAGCCACTAAAGCATTGATCCTCACTTTGAATTCTTCATATTCTCTCTGCAAAACATTGACAAGTAAGTAAAGATCCGTTGTGTGATTTAAAAAAGTAAGAGATCTTTCGTCACTGACCTTCATTGCTCTGCGATCTTTGACGAATGTAGTTTGGACTTTATCCTTTAAGTAATCAATCTTCTCAGAGAAGTAAAACTCTGGAGCTCTTGGCTCAACATTGTACTTCTTGCAAAACGGAACCCATCTCCTTGCAAACTCGGAAGTTTCAGACAATGTATCGAACAGTAGCATTGATGCACCGTCATCAGACACATAGCAGCTAACCTTATTTACTGGGTAATCAACGGATAAGATCGAAAGAATAGTGTTGGCTGTGATTATCGGAGGCTCCTTGAGCGGATCCACCGTACTGACAAACACATCAACCGGTTCAAGCTTGTTCTTTTCGCCATCCCGTTCAAATCTCATAGAGAGACGGTCAAGATAGGTTTCTCGGTTAATTGGAAACCATTTCGGGAACTGATCAAGGATCCAAGAAAGTGCGAACCAGATCTCACAGATGACTGAGATAAGCCAGAGAGGGTATGCGTCTTTTGCTGGTGTCAAGATACGGAAACGGAAGAAGAAAACTAAGATCACAAGACGAAGAACGATCACAATGCGGTAAGGACTGATTTTGCTCGATGAGATTGGGACTTTTCTCCAGAGAGGTTGTCTTGCTTCAGCATCTCTGTAAAAAACAAGAACTCAGTTACTTACGTTTCAAGTCTTTATTACTTGAGATTAAAGAAAGATCAGTTTTTCTTTTTGTTTGTTACAGGTATTCTTCTTCATCATCTTCTTTGTCTTCGTTTGTTTGTTCTCCTTTAGTCACTAAACCTCTCTTCTCTTGCCTCGCTTTCCATTTATCTACTCGTTCTTTCCACTCTGCATCTGTGTAGCCATCTCTTTCAGCTTCAAAGTCTTTCCCCAACACTTCAAATCAAATCACACAGAAACAGGTCACAAAATTTGCGTTTAGACATCTAAAGGTATATATATAAATCGAACATATATTTTCTATTTATACCACTTCCGGTGGAAGAAAAGGCCCGCCCATTTGGACGCCATTGCTGCTTACTATTGTAATCTCCATTTTCCTGCATTACCAAGAAAATACTCAGAATCTTGATTCCATATGGGAAGGAGAGACTATAAAGAAAAGAAAAGAAAAAAAACATGGATCAAAATCATATAGTACCGATCCATAGGCAAAATTCTGGTGAATGGAGGAAGCATCCTGGCGATTCTTGATATTCAACTCATCATCTGAATCATCAGGACCATTGTTTTCTTCATCTCCAACGATTTTCGGAGAGCCTTTAAACAAAACAGTTCACCAATATGAGAGTTAAGCAAGTTATGGATGCTAAAACAAAAAACAGGGTTTAAGTTAATCTACCTTTGTGGCGTTTGTAAATAGTATTGCATTGAGGGCAACATTTGTTACCGTTGCTACGCTCGTATTCATAGCAAGGTTTGCAAACCGGGTAAGCGCACACGTGGCACGCCACAAAAGTCTGGCCATTGTCATTGTCTTTGACCTCATCGCCACAAACTCTACAGATCTTAGCCGGGGATGAATGACGATGCTGCATTCACAAAAAGTACATAACTTTGAGATTTTAATGCGAACCCAAATGAAAGAATTTGGTCAAGAAGGAAACCCAGGTAACATTTTGTTTTGTTTCTTTCTCTCTTACCTCATGGTCAAAGGTGGCCATGGTGTTTGGTTCCATGGCAAGGCAAGCTGAGCTCGAAAGCAGAGTAGAAGGAAGGATATATAGAGAAATGTAAGTGACTATGTGTTTTGATGATTGAAGAGATAAGAGGTAATATAAGGAGAATATGTTTGAATTTGTTGTGAAGAAAACTGAGGTTGTACCAAACTGTGAGGTGAAATTGGGTCTGAGGTTTGTGTCATAAGAAAGCTTCAAGAGACAGCAACAAGATTTGGTGGAAGAAGGAGACAGCTCAGTGTAGTCAGTGTTTTTATATATTTATTTGCTTGAGCTTCCAACTTCTGCTGTTCTTTTTAGTTCTTTAGAATTTGTATAACTTAGAGTAGCTTTCAAGTTACTATGTATTTCTACTTTAGTCTTACTTAATACTTTGATCTTATATCTGAACTTTACCAAATTCAGCAATGTTCTTGAATCTAACTCAATTAGGTAGAGAACTCAGTTAGGTAAAGAAAGACAAAGAGGAGAATATATAACAAAAGCCCAAAATCAATTTCACAAAGGCCCAAAATGGTAATATAAATAAGAAAAATAAACACAAAGATGATCATGGTTCATGGATCATAAGCATTTGAAACGAGGGAGAGAGACAAAAAAAAGACTCAAGAATCAGATTGAAAATCTGATCTTATTGTTTTGTTAGTAAATAAGATTTGATCAGGCGACATAGTAGACGGAGTTAGGGAGCTTGAAGGTTCTCTTGGGAACTGGACAACCTGCGAAGCTGTTCCATTGTGCACCCATTACTCCCCAAACTCTGTAACCAAGACTTGTAAGCCATGACCTCAAATCTGCTTTGTATTGGCTCACACTCTTCTTCTCATCATCTTCTCCCCTGCATTTTTCAGGTTTGATAATTTTATTATACTTGGTTCATTATATTATACCATAATGCTCGAATTATTGTTGTCAATGTACACATTGACAACACTAGTATAATTTATGTTGTGAAATCATATAAAAACACATTGATGACACATTACTAATAATTTATGTCTAATTGGTGGCAATTCACTAGTATAAACTCGATAATTGCCACCAATTAGACATAAATTATTAGTAATGTTTTTATATGATTTCACAACTCTCTCTCTCCTATTTTCGGTCAAACCCATTAATTACTCAAATAAACAAATTAATGACACAATTATAAATTAAATGCTGAAAAATCCAATCTTAAAGACCAAAATCTTAAATAACTTATTGTTTTATTTGATATCATCAATTAATAAACTAAAATAAATATGAATAAAACTGGAAAATCTATCAAAAATAGTATGCATTAAAAACATAAAACAACAACAAATTTAAAACAAAATTTAATTTCTAAAACGACTACTAATTTAAAACAGAGGACATAATAGTTACTATTAGTTACTATGGTTTTACCGATTAGAGGGTTATATCGAATTTTCCCGCCAGTTTGTATTAAATATATAAATTTGGTTTTAGGATTTTGATTTCAATTATGGTCTATAGTTTTTTTTTTGTTTAGAGAATAAATGAACTCAACGGAATGACAAAACCTATCTGAATTGTTGTAGTTTTACTTTTGGTTTGGTGAAATTAGAAGTGTAATTTCGGTTTTACGCGGTTATTAAATATGACTCGAACCTGGGGTAATATATACCTGAGAAGGAGGTTAGACCAGCCGTGGTAACCGGCTTCGATAAGGTTTTCAACGGTGGCAGATCTGAGATACTCTTTACGAGAAGAGATCAAAAAGATCTTGAAACCTCTCTCTCTGATCTCATGGTACAACTTCACCATGTTTGGAACCGCTGGTGCCTTGCCCAACTTTTGCCATTCCTCGAACTTGGTTGTGTTCAGTTGCTCACCACTGTTTCAAATTAATGTAACATTTCAATCCCGGTTTTATTCTAAACCGGATTAAAGCTAACCAGGAAAAAAAATGATAGATCTGAACCAAAATTCAAGCCAATTGTTTTTTATAACCTAATCATTTTTTTTTGTTACAAATATTATTTGGATCTTTTTTTTTTTTTGACATCTTTGGATCGACAAGGCCCGATCCATAGTCAATTCCTACTACGCGGGGTAACGCGACTTAGTAGAGTCGAACTCCGGTGGTGAAGGCGGAGGCAAGTGGACTTAACCATGCACTTGACTAAAGGCACATTTCCTTGGATCTTTAATTTATTATTTTATCAAAAAATGGAACCAAAAACCAAACTAAAATATTGTCAAACCAAACCGAGGTTAATGTAAATATGGTTTAAGTTTAGTTTATTTACCCGAAACAGCCGTTGCTCTTGTGGTAAGGAATGGTGGAGAGAAGAGTGTCATCAATGTCAAAGATCCAAGCATCCATGCCATCGCATTTCTTCTTTTCGCAACAAGTTTTTCCGAGGTAGAGGATGGCTTCATCGATGGCTCTCTCCACGTCATCCTCGTATTGAGATGAGGTCATGTACTTTTGGACGAACCATACACATTCCTGTGGCACAACCAAAAAGTCCCTGATGTTGTTAAGCTCCACGTTGACTCTCCAGCTTTCGCAGTATCCGTTTAGGTTTGGTCCTTTCAAAGATGTGAGGCCGGTCTGGCTAGTCTTTGTTGTGGTTGTGGTTCCTTTGAGCTGGTTCAGGATGTTCCAGTCACGAGCTGAGACCATTCCGGTGAAGAGGACAGCGAGAGTTAGCGAGAGAAACAAGGATCTAGCCATGTTGATGATCGATGAAGAAGAGTAGTGGTTTTGGCGATCTGATCTCTAATATGGTTGTGTTTATATAGAGTATGTAGAAGTGCAAGTCAACAAAACAAAACAAAAAATGAAGTTTTTTTCTATTAAATTTACTACTAACTATAGCATCACATGGGTTGAATTTTTTAGGAAGAATTCTTTGATATTATATTTCACAAAACATATTTAATGATTTCTGAAAACTCAACAAAACACATAAGTAAATTTTTATGTGTTTTCTCTAAATTACTAGCTTTGTTTCTTACATTTAAAGATAGAATGTCATTAGACATATTGATATTCTAGTACATCTTTCTTGTATCAAATGATTTTTTTTTACGTAATGTTACCAGGAAACTTTCGAATCAAACTTGTCATCAATTTTTTCTTTTGTTATATATAGATGATTATATATATTTTAACTTTAGTTGCACTACGTTAGTTTGTCAATAGCTAACAAATAATTGATTTGCACTTTATCCATATAGAAACAAACAAACGAAGTAAGAATATAATATTTTTAGTCTAACTATTATATATTAAACATTTACAGATAAATCTTATCATGTTCATATGATCAAATGCAAATATACATTAAAATATTTTGGAGATGAATGTGAACGACAGCACATTTTCACATAGATATAGAATAAATCTAGAGTTGGAGGAGAGTGGGCACCATGTCTTGATGTGATATCGATATAGGCAACTTGAAGGAATGAGGTGAGAAACATCCATTCCAGCTCATGCAATTTAATATAATCAACCGTATTGGTTGTCTGAATAAATGTCTTCTTTAGCTAATTTATACTCGGAATATGATCAATTCTATTAAAAAAGATATAAATAAGTATATATATATATATATATATATATATATATATATATATATATATCAAACCAATCAACAATGTTGTAGACCATGCTCATCCAAAAGTTGATGGAATAATGTAAATACGATCGGAAGAAGAAAAAAATGAGTCGATTTTTATTTAATTTTTTGGTTGTCATAACACAAAAGTATTTCCTAATGTCATTTGAACAATAATGATGGTTGGAAGTCATTTTCACACAACTATTGTTGGATAATTCCAACTAACTTGAGGAGCAAGTTATCTCCTTCTAGAAGATGCTAGAAGAGATACAAGAAAGGAAATCCAAGAAAGGAAATCAAGAGAAAATGAAATACAAATAATGTCAAGTTGGACAAGATTTGTAAGTCTTCCTATTCACAATAGGCAAAGAAGAAGCTTGGTTCTAGTATAAATAAGAGCCTTATGAAGAACAAGAGAAGCAGCTCAGCAGGGGAGCTCGTGTAGCTCAAGCGGGGAGCTCGTGTAGCTTAGAGGAGCTCAAGGAGCTCGAGTAGCTCAAGCGGGGAGCTCGTGTAGCTCAGAGGAGCTCAAGGAGCTCGAGTAACTCGTATAGCCGAAGTAGCTCAGAGGGTAGCTCAGAGGTAGCTCAGAGGAGAGCTCGTGAGAGCAGCTCAGAGGGAGCTCGTGAAGGCAGCTCAAGAGGAGAGCTCGTGAAGAAGAAGAGAGAGAGCTTGAGAGAAAGCTCAAAGAGCTTAGTGTAGCTCGGGGAGCTCGAATAGCCCAGGGGAGCTCGAATAGCTCGGGGTGAGCTCAGAACAGCTCGGGGGGAGTTCTGCTACCAGAGGAGCTCCAGCATCCGAAGATGAGAGTTGAGACACGTGGAGGTGTTGAGACAGATCTCATGAGAGTCTAGAGAAAGAGACTCATATAGACTTAGAGTCAGGAGGAGATGTCACAGGTTAGAGGTCTTAAACGCGGCGGAGGAAGCTTTATCAAAGGCTTTTCAAAGCCGCAATATGGGAAGGAGTGATGTTGCGGTATGGCGAGGTAAAGGAGATGTCTTTAAACCTAGGTTTTCTACCAAGGACACATGGAATCACATTAGAACGACTTCAAATCAAGTGGCTTGGCATAAAGGAGTTTGGTTCGCTCACGCGACGCCAAAATTTTCTTTTTGCCTCTGGCTAGCGTTGAAAAACCGTCTATCAACGGGAGACAGAATGCAGGTATGGAACAATGGCGCCACTGTGTCTTGTATCTTCTGCAACGATCCCTTGGAGACTCGTGATCACCTCTTTTTCTCTTGTCATTATACCTCTAAAATATGGAAAGCACTTGCTCAAAAGCTCTTCGGCACAAGGTTCTCTACGGAGTGGCAACAGGTAGTAGATTACATCTCAGAGTCTCAACATGATCGAATCCATAGCTATCTGGCCAGGAACATATTTCAGCTCACAGTTCATACCATTTGGAGAGAGAGGAATCAAGACACCATGGAGATGATCCGCGTCCTGCAACCACACTCATCCGATGGCTTGACAAGCACGTCCGCACCCAACTCTCGGCAATCAAATCACTGGGCGATAGACGTTACGACCAAGCCTTACAAGCATGGTTCGCCGTCCAAGCTTAACGTGGAATGCTCTGTTTTTTTCTCATAACCTCTGTTTCTTCAAAAGCAAAGCTCAATCTTAATCTTCTGTTTTTTATATATTCAAAAACAATGCTGATGTAACAAGTATATTTTTTTCTTGAATATAATTTAACATTTTATTCAAAAAAAAAAAAAAAATAGGGGTAGATAAGTTATATATATGAGAGGCTATGGAGAGTTGTTCCATAAGACCTCAGAGAGGACAGAAGAGAGAGATTTAGTTTTGTGAAGTTTTTAAATCAATAAAGAAAGGTTGTTCTTTAATCTCTTGTTCTCGTGTTGCTGAATCACTTTCTGAATCATTCAGTAACTTAGTCAGGGTAACGTGTTCCTGATTTGAATTGGGCATCAGAGCAGTTAAGATAAGGTGATCTTGATTTGAATTGGTATCAGAGCAAGTCGGCTCTGAACTTTATTTGGTATCAGAGCTTCTGGTTTGAAGACTCTGGACGAAACCTGTGGTATGGCAGAGCTTAGTTTGAAGACTCTGTACAAGTTCAGAACTTAGTTTGAAGACTCTGGACAAGATCTGTGGTGTGTCAGAGCTTAGTTTGAAGACTCTAGACAAGACCAGTGGTACGTGACTCGTAAGCAAGTATGGCAGGCGAGAATCCACAACCACGAACCAAGTTCATTCATATTGTAGCATCCCTGGAGCAAGTTCTTGACCTAAAGCAGATGGGGTTTGAAGACATTGTTGGGAGGTTACTGGAGTATGAAGAACGTGTTGGGGAAGAAACTCAAAGTGAAGATCAAGGACCTCAAACCCTAAACGTGGAGGCAACGGGAAGTTTCAAGAAGGAAACAGAGGCGGTTATAACAAGAAGACGTTATAACAGAGGAAGCTATAACTACGGTGGTTATGGTAGAGGAAGATTTGGAGGTGACAGTTCCGGCAGAGGCATGGGACAAGGAAGGTCCGTCTTGCAATCTCAAGGAGGAGTAACCGGTGATCACAACCAAAAGCAGAATTTATCCAAAGTGATGCGACAAGGCTGGTCAGCATCAAGTTGTTTGGAGATAAGCAAGGCAACATGTCTGCAAGCTGAAGGACTTGCTGAGGGACGTGCTGAAGGACTTGCTATAGGACTCGTTGAAGGACTCGCTGAAGGACTGACTGAATGAATTGCTAATGAATCTACAAGGACATGGCATGATCGGTTAGGTCATATAAGTTTTGGAGTTGATTCGTGGAGAAGATGCTGGAGAAGGACATGAAGAAGATGATGTCATGGAGGATATCACTTAAGACAACCACGAGAATGAGGTTGATGAAGTAGTTCAAGGAGTACCACAGCTGACAAGGTCGGGTCGACAAGTGAATCAACCGCAATACCTTGAAGACTATGTTATGAAGTCCGAAACAGTTTCCGGTTTGTTCCAGAAAAAACTTATGATGAAAGTGAGAGACGAGCCAAGATCAACAAGAACAGGTGGTTCCTTGTTGACATATCGATTGAAGTTTTCGATCGGTACAAAAGGTTTGAAGAGTGTGTAGAGAAGCAAGCCCGCTTGTCCATCAAAACCTTTCGCACCGATAGAGGAGGAGAGTTTATGGAGCTCAATCGATTACGCATAGAGGAGGAATCTCTAGGCGTCTAATGAATATTCGATGTTGCATAGAGGAGGAGTCTCTAAGCATCTAATGGAGTTCAATCGATTACGCATAGAGGAGGAGTCTCTAGGCGTCTAATGAAGATTCTGAATGATATGTGGGGAGAAGCCGAACGTCATTCAAGCTTACTAAAAGCTAAGAAGATCATGAGGCCGCATCTCAAGATGGTAGATGATTGGTCAAGAAGTGTGATCACGAGGCCGCATCTCAAGAAGGTAGATGATTGGTCAATATTGGAGCCAAGCCGGGTTCTAATGATGCTAGAATCAAGTCGGATTCTAGAGAATATCAAACCAAGTTGGGTTATGATATTTGGGTATTCTGTACTAGTCGTTGAAGTAGTACAGAGAGTACTACAGGAAGTTATTCAAGGAGTTGAACAAGAGGTTTGTTCTCAAGGAATACTTCTCGCTGAAGTAGTACATGAAGTAGTACAAGACGTGATTCAAGGAGCAGAACAAGAAGGTTGTGTTCAAGGAATCGTTGAAGTAGTACAAGCACTAGTACAAGAAGTAATTCAAGGAGCAGAACAAGAGGGAGATGCTCAAGGAATGCTTGTGGATACTAAGATGCAGTCAAATTTGAAGTTGTCAAATTTGAAGATTTCAAAAGCTGAGGAGGAGCAAGAGATCGTATCTCAACAAAGGTTGAAGTTGAGAATGTTCAAGGTGTGGAGCAGAAGGCGGACACACTTACTAAGGCATTGGCGAGAATCAAGCTTCCCGGAATTCAAGTTGGAATTAAGGGGGAGAATGTTGGATAATTCCAACTAACTTGAGGAGCAAGTTATCTCCTTCTAGAAGATGCTAGAAGAGATACAAGAAAGGAAATCCAAGAAAGGAAATCAAGAGAAAAGGAAATACAAATAATGTCAAGTTGGACAAGATTTGTAAGTCTTCCTATTCACAATAGGCAAAGAAAAAGCTTGGTTCTAGTATAAATAAGAGCCTTATGAAGAACAAGAGAAGCAGCTCAGCAGGGGAGCTCGTGTAGCTCAAGCGGGGAGCTCGTGTAGCTCAGAGGAGCTCAAGGAGCTCGAGTAGCTCGTGTAGCTCAAGCGGGGAGCTCGTGTAGCTCAGAGGAGCTCAAGGAGCTCGAGTAACTCGTATAGCCGAAGTAGCTCAGAGGGTAGCTCAGAGGTAGCTCAGAGGAGAGCTCGTGAGAGAAGCTCAGAGGGAGCTCGTGAAGGCAGCTCAAGAGGAGAGCTCGTGAAGAAGAAGAGAGAGAGCTTGAGAGAAAGCTCAAAGAGCTTAGTGTAGCTCGGGGAGCTCGAATAGCCCAGGGGAGCTCGAATAGCTCGGGGTGAGCTCAGAACAGCTCGGGGGGAGTTCTGCTACCAGAGGAGCTCCAGCATCCGAAGATGAGAGTTGAGACACGTGGAGGTGTTGAGACAGATCTCATGAGAGTCTAGAGAAAGAGACTCATATAGACTTAGGGGTAGATAAGTTATATATATGAGAGGCTATGGAGAGTTGTTCCATAAGACCTCAGAGAGGACAGAAGAGAGAGATTTAGTTTTGTGAAGTTTCTAAATCAATAAAGAAAGGTTGTTCTTTAATCTCTTTTTCTCGTGTTGCTGAATCACTTTCTGAATCATTCAGTAACTTATTCAGGGTAACGTGTTCCTGATTTGAATTGGGCATCAGAGCAGTCAAGATAAGGTGATCTTGATTTGAATTGGTATCAGAGCAAGTCGGCTCTGAACTTTAACTATTACAATCATTTTGTTAAAATCATCATTTTTGAAGACTCGTAAAAACTATTCGACTTTCTGGAAGATCAGTATGTATGGATTCCATCACTGCAACATGCATAAAAGAGGGTTTGGAGGTCGCGATGAATGACTGCTCTCCCTTGGCGATTTTGGTTGGTCATACTTGTTAAAAGCGTTTCAGCTAAAACGTGTTCACCTATATATAGAGTTTTTTTGTACATGAATCGATCAGTGATTATCTCTTGAAACTTTTTAAATTTAATTTGTAGACCTATCTACCAATTTATGGCTAACCCTCACACATGCAGTCGTGTGAGATAGTAATATGCTCAGTTTACACTAATTGATATATGTTCCATTTTGTGTATATTTTATCTCAAATTGTAAGAATATATATAAGTGTCTCCGATCAAAATATTAATTGTTAGAATTTGTCTTGTTCCAACAGATAATTATTTTTTGTAACAGATATAAACGAATATATGAGAGATTTGAACAAATATTTACTTATGTGAATAGCTGAACTTAGGCATGTGTATAGCTGAACTCATGTGTATTGTTAACCTAATCCTTATTCGGATACTTTACATCCTTAACAACATTTCCCACGTTGTAATTTTATTTTTTCTTTGTTTAACATATTACATATATATATATGGTGCGACTTTAAGAGATATATCTTTTTGTACCAAATCCAAGTTTTGACAACTCATTCAGTTCTTGATCAGTCTTTTACACAGTTGGCAATCGGGATGCTTATCATAAATTACTTTTTGCAATATTTCATTTCAACTTTTTCATTTAATTATTACAAATTATTTGTAAATTATTAATATTTTGGACCATTTCGTTAATTTCAACTCTTCCTGACAAATCTAGAATAGATAACAACTTTCGTTAATAATAATAATTGATGGCCCTCTTGACTATGTTCTTTATACATGTGTGATATCAATCGACGACGAGATTGGCTTTTTGGTTTATGTAGGGATGAATAAAAATATAGAATCTAATTTGCTTCAAAGATTTTCATTATTTATTAGAAATCATTTATAGTTAACAATTGGTTTATTAGATAGAACATATATAGATGTCATGTTAACTACTCCGAGTTCCATTAATCAAATAGATTCAGTTGACAAAACAAATAACACCAAGTTTTACAAATTTTGGATTTTATTTTATATGAATATACACAGACAAGCCATTTTCGTCACATGTGATGTCAAAAATAAAATTTAATAAGAAAGTTGTTGATATAATAAATAAATAAAAAAACAATTAATCATGCTTGGTCATAGCTGAAGTTTTTCTTTAGAATGGTTAAACATCGTGTAGTTCTAAATGCAGAAAAACGTCACAAAGTTCTTACTTAGAAAACCAAAACCTTACTTATTCAGAAAACCGAATCGTCGTCTCTTCTAGGGCAACGAACGCGCGGGAAACTTTTTACTGATTCACGATCATGCCTCAAGCCAATCGGTCAAATCGCTTGTGCTTTTATGAAATTAGGGTTATTCTCTTTCGAATCGAATCAAAATAAAGAAGAAATGGTTTGGAATTACCCAGAAATCTCCAAGGAAGATTTCATCAAACTATTGAAAGGGTTTGTGGATTTGCTCATTTTAGCATCTGGGTTTCAATCTTCTGGTGTTCCTGCTCATTGGGATGCTGAGAATTGCAAGAAAGCTCTTCAATGGGGTCTCTTCTTCGAAAATGTTGGCTTTTTCTCACTCTCACTCTCACATTGATTCCTGTTTCTTCCCCTAAATTGCTTGTGTTCTCCATTACTAGGTCTTAAGAAGCATAAATGGTTCAGATACGTTTGGGGAATCTGTGAGAGAGCTTGACGAAGCAATATCAGATATAAAAACCAACCCTTTGTTCCCAAAGGTTGTGTTTTTAGGTTTTTTTTGCTTATCACTATCTCTAGTCATAGGTGAAACTTAAGGTGGATTATAATTTGTTGGAATTGTTGTTTGTTTGGAGAAAAATTTCAGGGTTTGGAGAATTTATCATCAGATACTCTTTCAAATGGGAGAGAATATGTGTTAGAGCATTTGATGAATAACTCGACATTGAAGGATAAACAACTCCAAGCTATTCTGGTTGCAGCGGTGGAATCAGGTGACGGTATTACAGATATAATCGATGGGAAACTCTGTAAGAGGCAATCTGTTGTGTCCTGTGTATCAGCACTTGAGACTGGTTTGAATATCCTTTCTAAGCACATAGAGCCTAAAGAGTTGTTACATAGAGAAGACAATAATACAACTTTCTTGAGGTATGTTGTGCTTTCTAAGTATGAGATAGCATGTATTGCAATAATCTTGGTGTACTTGTTGATGAACTTGATGTCATTCTTTTCATAGCTCGGAAAAACAGCCTATTGAGCTTTTGACCTGGAGCATCTGGCAATCGAAAGCTATATCTTATTTTCTTAGTAAGAGAACCTTAAGATTGGTATCGGGAGCCAGCTTGATATTTTCTGCACCAAAAGCTCAGTGGGTAGAAGTGTTAAGAAGGCTGCGTGTCTCAGATAAGAATGATGACGATATATTCATCGAAAAGATCGTAAGTTGATCTGATTCTTGAACTATATATCCATTTTGTTCTCTTCTGTTTTGTAAGAAATGGTGGTCACTCTTACTTGAACACTTGTGGTGATATTGCTGAAGAGCAGGAGCTATTGTTAATAGGATGCGTTACAAGCAGATGGACTCATTTAATCGAAGGTATCATGTCAGTTTCATACAAATCTGTCTCTGTGTCAGAACAATACGAGGAGTTATGCAAGCTGCTTCTTCAAAGATCTAAAAGTTTAAAACAGAACGAGATTGCTTTGAATTCAAAGGTCACTTTCTCAACTACAATCATTTATTGAAATTTTTAGTTTTCTTGGTTTATATGTATCATTTGCTATATGTAAATCATGTTTCTAACTTTTTTGGTTTCTTCTTATATAGGTTGAAGAAATTCTAGAGTATCTAACAGAAATACTAGAGAGTCGTTTACATCACCTCTGGAAATTACCTTCCGCCCTTACCGCAGCAGCAATTCCATCATGGTAATTTCAACTGTAGTATTCCTAATTTCGACATTGCATTTAATTAGAAGTCCTGTTCTCTGGCTTCGGGCGTGAGTTTGATTACAATAATACCAATAAGAAGCTTTTCATGTGCGCTATTAGTATGTTCGCTTGTGCTTCTGGACTGTTGCCTTTATACCGAAATTTTTATTGAGTTGTTTTTGGTTTGGACAAAGAAAAGTATAGAACATCAACGAATGTCTCTCTAGTAGAAGAAAATCTATCATGATCTAAAACACTTAGAGTAAATTAAAACCTATAACCAAACTCTTTTGACCTAGATAAACTTGTGTAAGTGCTCTTTATGCATCTTGTTCTTTCATTTGTGATATCCCTCAATAGTACACAGATGCCACAACAGAGATTTTGTATTCTGTTCTTGTTTAAAGTAACATTTTGTTAAAGATCTTGAACCATGGTATCACAGGTCACCGCTGTTTGGTCTGTATTTTGGTGAAATAGAGAAACAGTTGAAACTAGACCACTCAACAACAAGGTAAGTTTCTCTCTAAACATCAGTTTCACATTGTTCTTGAACCTAAACAGTTAAAAAAACCTACATCTAGATATCTATCTCCTTCTCTTCTGCAGATGTTGTAGCTGTGATAAAGATCTAAACGAGCACAAGGACTGTAAGTTACACAACTACATAGTACTTTCCTTGAAATTTTACAAGTTCCCTTGAGATATCTTTCCATTAACTTAGATAGCATTGTGTTCATACGCATAGGTGAGCTCGCGGAAAGAGTTTGGTGCTTGTACGTATTCCATATCTGCAAATGCCACTAGATAGAAAACTAATGGTCATTGATCAATACAAGAAGATCAGCTTTCTTCAAGGTAAGGATCACATTGATGCAGATGTTTTGTCAATATATCTTATGAAAACTCTTGTTTTCTTGCGTTTGCGATTAGATGAAGAAAAAAGAATCACAATCAGTTCAATAACAGAAAGATCCAGAAATGAAATTGATTTCTAGTTCGAGATATTTCCTTTGCTTTATTTTGTTTCTTTAAAATTGAATTCTCTTTGTTTAATTGTGTTATCAATCGTTGTCTTTTTGACTCATGTAACGTTACTTTTACGTCATGTAACAAGAAAGCAATTACGCGTGGGGTCTAGTTTTTAGGCATAATCTTGTCTTTTTGGTATGTTCTTGTATCAATCCATATCATCATCTATCCTAAAACGTCGTCGCTTTTGCTATGGACGGTGTAGACTGACCGGTTAAAAAAGGTAGACACACTCAAATCTCACTTTAACCGAATGTTTCCAAGATATTCAGACAAAAGAACTTTTTTTTTTGGTAACGTTCAGACCAAAGAACTGATGAAAATGAGTTTGCAGCAGATAATGCTTTTTGATATAGGGGTTTCAAAAGTGAAATTATTTATTAATCGTTGAGATTTTGCTTCACCGTTGGTTATACAATAAAGGTTGTATTTGATTCTCCACCCAAACTTGGGACGGGTTTATGACCCATAAATTAGGCTCCTGATGTGGAGCTGACACTAACTAAATTTCAAACATATCTTTATCCATTAAAGAGAAAATTAAAGAACAGAATTGTATTGGATTGTTTTATACTAATGCCAAGTTTGGTATAATCTAGATTCAAATTTGGTAGTATGTTGATGTGTGTAAAAATTTTATCGGGAAAACTATTATACCATAAAAAGAATAAATTAGTGATTTATGACTACAGTATTTTCTTTATAATTTGTTTCAATAAATAAATTAAACGGTGGATTAAATAAAATATTATGTAGTGCGTAAAAAAGTGTTAATTTGACTTAGAAATTAGTATAACCATTTGATAATATATATTGATGTTCTATTTATTAACTTATTTCATCATTGTGTAGCTCTTTTAAAACCTTTGTATTTTTGTTAAAAGGGTCGTTTAAAACCTTGCTAGCCACCATGATTTTGCCTATAGATGATTTCGTTTAGCCACTACAACATAAAGTTAATGTGCAAATATGTCACGAGGTAGTTAATTTAAGTGGTAATAGATCATGAAATATATTGAATTGTTTTTTTATAATATTAACTTTTTCATATTAGTGTATTAGACTATATTTTGGATACATGGTGATGAATGATGTCCTTTGGATAATTCTTTGACATATGAATTATGAATCACTTTACTATATTTCTTTTGTATTGAAATGTGTTAATATTGATGATCTATCAATCTACTGATTCATGTCATTATGTTGGTCGTTTAAAACCTTCTTTTTTATGTTAAAAGGGTCGTTTAAAACCACGCTTAACACCATGATTTGCCTATTAATGATTTCGTTTAGCCACTAAAACATAAAGTTTATTTGAAAATACGTCACAAGGTAGTCTACTAAAGTGGTAATAGATGAAATAGATTGAATTACTTTTATAATGTAACTTTTTCATAAACTATTAGGCAAAAAAAATTGGATTATATGGTGGTGACTGGTGAGTGATGCTCTTTCGACTATTATTTGACTATACACTTTTAGTCCACGAATTATAAATCCACACGTTGCAAATCCCATAACCTCTCTCTCTATCTCTCACTTTCTATCAAATTTAGCTCTTTAAATATTTCTCTCATTCTTTGCTTCTTTGTTACTTCTACACATTTTCTCACTCTCACAAATCTCACACACAGAGTAAACTAAACTTTAAAAAGCTATGAACAAACAAAGTTTGAAGAGACTTCAATTCCGGAGATGGGGAAAGCGATTCGGAAGCTCGACGACGGCTTCAGGGACACTAGGAAACTCAGAGGAAAGAACAATTGTGGCGTTTGCGTTCTCATGTTGTGGAAAACCTCGTGTTCTTGTGAAACAGTTTGTTTGGAGGCTTAAATCGCGTTTGAGGTGGTCGCGGAAGAGTGATCATAATAACATTCAGTGTAGTTATGATCTCCGGAGCTATCATCTTAACTTCGACGACGGTTGGTCTCGCCGACGGTGATTTTTAAATAAATAGACGTTATTATTATTGTCTATATACAGAGCCATTTTCTTTTCATATTTTGTATGTAAATTAAATCTCAATCTGAACATTATTTTGAACTTTGTAGTGTTTTCTTGCATACAAAATTGCAAGATCTTGATATTTCTATTTAGGCTTTAATTTTTAATCCAAATACAAATACTTGTCAAATATAGAAAAACAAAATTTGTATCCTAGAAAAGTATAAATAGCTGGGGGACTAATTCTTCTATTAGTGAGAATACTTTTTTTTTGTTTAAGAAAAATCATATGAGTCTAATTGATCTTAATTTTGTTGTTCTCGATATGTTTATGAAACACTATTTACAGCTGTTTTTTCACAGGTCATATAAATGAGTATTGATGTTGATGAATTGGTAACATAAATGACATAATTATAAATATAATTGATGTGGAAGAAAAAGATACATAAGACCAGTTAAAATTTCTACAAATTTAATAATGAAAAATGCTGAAATTAATCAAAGTGAAATTATTGCTATCATCTGATTATTAATGAAGTAATCAAATCAGCTACCTAACATTAATAAATATCTCCACAGTGTTTCTAATTAGCCACTCAATACACAATTTGGATAGGGGAAGCTCATATAATTGATTGTTGGAACCAAACTGAACTAGCCGAATTAACCAAAATTTACAGTAGAAAAAATCTGAATAATTTGGTTAGTTCAATTATGAGGTTTCCCTGCCTTGAATTTTATGGAACCAAACTGAAATAACCGAATTAATCAAAATTTATTGTAGGATAAATATGTCCTAGAAACTCGAAAACAATCGGAAAGACATTGGTTAACAATTGATTTACTGTAGTTGTCAAAGCTTTCGTAAGTTGTTGACTGAAGTATGGTGATCATGGCGAAATCTTTCGTTAGACCCTCTAAAGTTTCTCCATCTCTATGGTGATCATGTCGAAATCTTTGGATCTTTTATAGAATAAAGATCCCAAATGCAACCGCCTACAATTTAGGGATTATAACTTAAATAATAAAAAATGTAATCATTTATTTTTATTTTTTGTTTAATTGTGAAATTTATAAATCAAAGGATAAAGGAGTTTATATAAAGAGGAGAAAGACTGTAAGTAGAATGTTAATGAGAGAAAGTCCCACATCGGAAGTTTGAGAAATTATCAAGTGATATATAAAGGGCTAGGGCCAATCCACTCATTGTCAATTGGTTTTGAGTTGGAAGCCCATGTTAAAGCCCAAATCTATCATGGTATCAGAGCCACCCGATCGTTGGGCCACCCTGTGGATGTTGTTCCCACATATGCCCACGCTTCAGATGTTCATGCCTGAGCGTGAGGGAGGGTGTTATTGAAGTCCCATATCGGGCCACCCCGTAGATGTTGTTCCCACATATGCCCACGCTTCAGAGCCAACGATGCCTGAGCGTGAGAGGGGGTGTTAATAAGAGAAAGTACCACATCGGAAGTTGGAGAAATTATCAAGTGATATATAAAGGGCCAATCCAAAAGATTTAATATGTGGATTTGGTTTAATAGGGCCAATCCACTCATTGCCAATTGGTTTTGAGTTGGAAGCACATATTCTAATTCTAATATAGAAACCGCGAAAAGCGGTTTAAAACAGAAACAAAGCATGTCTCATGAGCGATGTAAGGATAGCCAACAGCGAAGCAAGTTATTAAAGCGATGCAATCCCATCATCTATAGCTATAGTGATGAGTTGTGTCAGATTGCTTGCCAACTCTAACAAGAAATCTGATTTTCTTCATGATAGAGGAATGATTACCGCAAAAAATCTCAATCCAAAAAATATGAGATTTGGAGCTACCCCAGATTTCAAGGAAAAGTTGATGTTTCAAGCACAATGTACCGGAATTAGGGTTGGACACACCATATAACCAAAAAAAAATATATAGAACTTAGACATACACGAAACGTCGAAACAGTAACCTAAAAACATAAGAAGTTGTACTCTTGCCACTTCACAAAGATAACAATCGAAATTTTAACCTCGCAACATCGGATCTTCGTAACGTTGGATTTTTTAGACAGTTGTATTAGAAGAATTTGAGAATTGATGTTGAACAGAAACTAAAGCTCTCATGAAGAAGACGACGATAAGCTCGAGAGAATAATATGGAAATTATAATTGTTTCTGTTAAGTGTAAAATATGATGTACAAAGTATTTATATACACGATTATAAACTATCCGGTACAAACCGGTTCACTAAACCAAAATCAAATGTGTAAACCACATTATCATCTCTAATAAGTTGTTGTTCATCCACTAGCAAAACATTTGAACAATAGTTAGTTTATTGTAATTCAAAGCGATTTTAATTGAAATTTGTTATTTTATTATATTCTCTTATGTTATTTTGTATTGTCCACATACGAACATGTTAAAATTTCCTCCACCAATATTATTATTAGGGACCTTTTTACCAAAGAAGATCCATAACCTAAAATTCCCAAATTACCTAACCAAACCAAACCAACGCTTGAATTAGCAAAAAACTCGATATTCGCTTGGGCCTGGAATAAACATAGTTGGGCCTGCTTTCATATAGATACAAAACGCACCGTTTTATGTCTTTCGTCTCTCTTCTCTCGCCGAGTGACAGAGGAAGAAGAAGAAGAAATCTCAGCCATGGCCAATTGCTTCGCGCCACAATTAACATTCCCGTCATTCGCGCCACGCCACGTCAGCCCTAGAATGTCACACCAATCACCAAAACCAAGCACAAGCACCACCAACAAAAGCATCTTCACCTCCGCCACAAAGCTACTTTGGGGACCATCTCTTCCTCCAGGTCTACTTATCTCCACCGCTAGAACAGCTTGGACCACCGTCTGGCAGCTCATGATGACCCAACTCGCTCCATCCGATTCATCCGGGTCATACACCCGACCCACTTCCAAATTTCGTCTCGACCCGACCCAATTCCCTTCCGCTGCTTCCTCCGAGCTCCATCTCTACGTGGGTCTTCCTTGTCCTTGGGCTCATCGAACCGTAATTGTCCGAGCTCTCAAGGGTTTAAACGACGCCGTTACAGTCTCAATCGCATCACCTGGTCAAGATGGATCATGGGAATTCAAGGATAACAATATCCCAATCAAGGATAAGGATAAACTTATCCCGAGTTTGGATAAGGCAAACCGGTGCCGGAATCTTAAGGAAGTGTACAAATCAAGAACCGGAGGTTACGACGGTAGGTGTACCGTTCCAATGCTGTGGGATTCAAGGAAGAAAGAAGTTGTTTGTAACGAAAGCTACGATATTATCGAGTTCTTCAATTCGGGTTTAAACGAATTGGCACGAAACGCTGATTTAGATCTTTCGCCACCAGAGTTGAAAGAGATGATCCAAGATTGGAATCAGATTGTGTATCCTAAAGTTAACAATGGCGTTTACAGGTAAATTTGGAACATCATTACAATGCTTATAGAGTGTTAACAATGGCGTTTACAAGTAATCGGAATATCGAAAAAGCTATAGGAATTGAGTGAATTGTTCCACATTTGATGCAGTTTTTGCTCATAGCTTGTGTTCTTGACACTGCATTGTGTGTTTGTTGTTAAAGTTGATGGCTTTGTTGTGTAGTGATTTGCTTGCATGAATGTTTTGAAAGGTGCGGGTTTGCGCAGAGCCAAGAAGCGTATGATGGAGCAGTGAATGAACTCTTTAGTACCTTGGATGAGATTGAGGATCACTTGGGTAGTAATAGATACTTGTGTGGAGAAAGGTTAACCTTGGCGGATGTGTGTCTCTTTACAACTCTGATCCGTTTTGATCCGGTTTACAACGTTCTATTCAAATGCACCAAGAAGAAGCTTGTTGAGTACCCGAATCTCTATGGCTATTTGCGGGACATGTACCAGGTTCCTTTTCTTACTGGCTTCTCTCTAATACACAAATTCTGTGATTGGAAGTGCATTTCAAATTCCGTGTTTGTTGTTGTTGTTGAAACAGATTCCTGGTGTTGCGGCTACTTGTGATATTTCGGCTATAATGGATGGGTACTACAAAACGCTGTTTCCGCTAAACGCAAGTGGAATTCAACCGGCTATTTCTTCATCTGGCGATCAAGAATCTCTCTTGAGACCTCATAACCGAGACTTGGTGGGTAAAGCCGTTGAAGCACAGCTCGCTGTGTAAGCGAAGAAAACTGTACATAACTCAAAAGGATAGGATGATGCCGCAACACTCAAAATTATTATACAATGTAATAAGCAAACCACATTTGAAGCCCACCTGCATACTTCAAATCTTAGTGCAAACTATATTCAAAGAAAAAACCAACATTTATTACATCTTAGTGCAAACTTCTTCTAAAGTTCAGTTACTTGCCTTCCCCATTCTTTCGAAGTTGCTAGCATTCTCTCTCCTTTGGCTCGGGATTCCCATTCAAGAACCAGTAACTCACCGTCTGATTCACGCGGATCAGAGCCATCGAGTAGGTCCTCAATCAATATCAACAAGATGTCGTGAGAGCAGAGCCAAGGGGGCAGAGAGGATAGCAGAAGGTGCCCTATCCCTATGAGAAAGTCGGAAGAGAAATTCCACGAATCCCTTGGTGGATAAGTCACAACTTCAAAGAAAACCTATCCTTGATTTTGTCTTGAAGAAAATCACATTTGAAGCCCACGTGCATACTTCAAATCTCCACCACTCTGAATTGTGCTTAATCGATCCTGAATGTACTTGTCAATTAGTTTCACAATCTTCTCAGTTGGAGATCGTTGTTTACCATGCCTTCTAGCATTTTGTTCTCGCCATATTGAGTATTGAGTGGATAGTGTTTTGAAACACATACCTTAGATAAATACTTTTGTTCTGTCAAGGTCTTTTCCGCTTACAAGCTTGAGATATCCCTCCAGTTTGCCGAAAACTTATCAAGGAGGAGCCCTCTCATCATTTCCTCCAATACCTTATGTGAGTAAGAGTATAAAAAAAAAAGTGATCCCTTGTCTCCATAGGCTCCTGGCAGAGGACGCAGCTCGTATTAGCATGTTGATTCCAGTTTTTCGTTCTATCTCCTGTTGAGTATCTATTTTTTGTTGCTAGCCAAGTAATGAAAGAGTACTTGGGGTGGAATAAGTGAACCATATCCCTTTGTAACCTTCCATCAATGGCTTACAATACGA